AATTCCATTCCAACTACTTTACATGATTTCATTGCTTTTAAATTTATCAAATTTGTTTTAAGGCCTAACATACTGTCTACCCTGGAAAATATTTTATATGCCCTTGAATAGAATATGCATTCTGCTACTGTTGAGTATAATGTTCTATAAATGTTTGTTAGTCTATTTGGTTTATACTGTTGTTCAAGCCTTCTATTTTATGGTTGATCTTCTGTCTAGTTGTTCTCATCCTTATTGAAAGTGGGGCACTGATTTCTCCCACATTATTAGTGTTGATTTGTCTATTTTTTCCTTAAATTCTTTTATTTATTTGCTTCATGTATTTGAGGGTTCTGTGGTGAGGTGCATATACGTTTATAATTGTTATAACTTCCTGATGAATTGACTATAAAATTTCTAGTAATTTTTTTTTGTCTTAAGTCTTTTTTGTCTGATATTACTATCACTATTTACACTAGTTTATAGCTATCTTGTGCATGTTATATCTTTTTTCATAAGTTTACTTTAATACATTTGTATTATTAAATCTAAAGTGTTTCAGTGTGTGGCTTAGGGAATGTTTTCACGTCTTCCCCAGGTTTTGCTCTGATTGCTCCTCAGTGGGTGCAGCCGAGCACTTGTATTCAGATTTCACAGTGATCTGAGGAGGACTCTTTTTGGTTGTTCCTTTTTTGGTTCTTTCTATTCAATTTCTCTGTCACCTTGCTTGCTTGTGCCAGAGATACCTGTCTTACAATTGCTCCCCACCAATATTACTATTGTTTTCAACAGCATTTATAGGTGTAGAATTATTCACTCTGTTCCAAATAAATTTAGAACCATATGGAAGAAGTGCAGTGCTCTTAACCCTTATGGCTTACCTTTACCCCTAGGCAGAACCTCTGTACCACTATCACTGCACTGGAGCTGGGAGCAGGAACCCAGAATGATATCCCATTGTATAAGTGGGCAGTGGACAGGAGAGTGGCCACTGGGAATAGAGCTTCCCACCTAGCAGTTGGAGCTGAGTGGGAGAAGAAAGACCATTCTTCTCTGCCATATCTTCCTGGAATAGAGCTCCTGCAGTATGGGGTTGGGAGTATGAGAAATGGTAGCCTGTATTTCCTTGGGTTAACTTATAGCCCCAGACCAAGAGCTTAGAGGAGAGGAAATGACTGTCTTCTTGCCTGCACATGCCCCATCTTCCAATTAGTCAGAAATTATGACCTCTTGGTGGCACCAGTGTTTGCCATTGTATGGCCCATTCCATGAAAACTTGCTGACTTAGAAACCACCATGCCATGGTGTATACCTACATAACAAACCTGTACGTTCTGCACATGTATCCCAGAACTTAAAGTATAATTTAAAAAAAAAAAAGAAAAAGAAAACTTGGTTGCTTAGATGTGAGGGCAGGAAGACTGACAATTAAATTTAGCAAACAGAGCAATGACAGGACAGAGAAAGCTGTGGTCAATGTGGGAATGCTGTCATCTAAAACTATAAGGATCTCTCTCTTTCAGGTATTGACAAGGTCCCAGGGATTAATGTGGAGGAAAGTTAATGAGATGAGGTGGAGTTGAAGAACTTTGGAGATGAGGTCAAGGTTTGGAATTTGTATAAGAAATGCATCACTTACCACAGGGAATGCTCTACATGAGTATGTTTGCTGAAAACCTTGCTTTACATAGATTATATCAGTTAGAAAATACAACACACCTATGAAGAAAGTACTTTTATTCCAATTTTTAGATGAAAAACTAGAATCTTAGAAAGTTTGGAGAACTTGCATAAAGTCTTATTGTTAACAGTAATAACAACAAACATTTTAGAGCAATTTACTATGTACCAAGCATTCTTCTAAGAGATGTACATTCTTAAGTCTTAAGTGCTCAAAAAGTTATGTATTATTACCATTACCATGTTAGAGAGAAGGCACAGAGAGTTGCAATAACTTGCCGAAGGTCACATGGCTAGTTAGTGGCAAGAGCCAGGGTGTAGAGCAAGTGTCAAAATTAGGCCATTAATCAAACTTGGTGTTATGCCAAACCTATGTTTTAGCCACTCAGAAATAGCATCTATTTATGACTTTAAAGGTTCATATTACTCAAGAGACTCTTGGAAAAAATCTCTTCCAAGAATATTAATAAAGATTTTAATCAGTACAAGATTAAAATTGAGGCATAATGAATTAGATGAAATGAAACTAAAATTCCATTTATAAAATATAGAAGACAAAAAAGAACATTTGAGCCTAATAGAGGAAGAAGAAATAATAAAAAAAGAAATATGGAGGAAAATGAGATAAATGTCAGAAATTGTTGGAGGGAGCTCTTTGACACTTTCTTTCTACTTGTGAAGCATAAACAGATTTATCCTAATAAATTAAAGGTGAAGTTTTAGCTCCCCATAAGGATGATAGCATTTTTCTTAGGAGTGCAGCTGAAGTACAAGAATTTTATAGGGAAGAATTTACAACTGTGTGTAGTTACTTCTATTACTATAAACTTGAACCCCTAGGAAGGAGTAAGGCTGTCAGCCTCTTTGACAAACAGCCTCCATTCTTTTCCACCAGTCCACAGGGATCCTCCTGTGACAACTTCATCACCTGGAAATCAGCCTCCATCTTCCTTTCTCCTCAACAATTACTACTTTCTCTTTCACAACTATGTACTAAGACCTGCCAAAGGAAACTATGTGCTAAGTTTCCTTTCACTACGTACATATTCCTTTCACAACTATGTACATATTCCTTTCACAACTATGTACATATTTCACAACTATGTACATATTCCTTTCACAACTATGTATTAAGACCTGACATAAGGAAACCAAGTGCAGGCTGTCTCTTGACTCACTAGTTATGTTTAAGTTTATTAAAGGAGCACAAGGAAATGACAATATCTAAGTGTTTCTAAATGAGTCTGGACTTACTGCCGTGACAGTAGGCACAAATTTATAAATAAAATTAACAGAAAACGGGAACCCAAATATTGAAGAAGTGTCATAAGCACAAACTTTTCCTTCAAACTTAGGAAATCAATATGGTTTAAAGAAAATAAAACCCTGCATGGCTAAGGATGTTTTAGAGGTTTCTCTATCACAAGTCATTTGACTTCCTTGAACCTCAATTTTCTCGTCAATGTAGATAATAACCATCTTTAGAAAGTTACTACAGCCCTGGTGTGGTGGCTAACGCCTGTAATCCCAGCACTTTGGGAGGCCGAAGCGGGCAGATCATGAGATCGAGAACATCCTGACTAACACAGTGACGCCCCATTACTATTAAAAATACAAACAAACAAACAAACAAAAAGATTAGCCGGGCATGGTGGCAGGCGCCTGTAGTCCCAGCTACTCAGGAGACTGAGACAGGAGAATGGCATGAACTCGGGAGGCGGAGCTTGCAGGGAGCCGAGATCTCGCCACTGCACTCCAGCCTGGGCGACAGAGTGAGACTCCACCTCAAAAATAAATAAATAAATAAATAAAAATAAAAAGTTAATACAATAATGAAAAGAGAGAATATATATGGATAGGCTGTGGCCTATTATAGCAAACTATCTCATTATACTCTCTGCTTCTTTATTTGGAAAACAGATACCTTTAGAGCTGGACTTTGACATTGTATTTGCTAGGTACTCTGTGCTAAGATCAGTACAAACAGTTAAAGTTAATGCAGCATACTTAGCTTTTGACAAACACATTATTTTATATTTGAGTCCCAGTAGATCAAATGAATATTATATTTATTACAATATGAAGTTGAAAAAGTTTCTTACCAGTATCAGCTGAAAGCTGTTCAAAGTGCATAATGTATGCATATTATTTTGCTTTTCTTCTGCAAAGGTCTGTTTTATGAATCAAAATGACTAGTGCATAGCAGCAACGTATAATCAAAGTTACTGTAAAGGTCACAAGTAAATGAGAACGTAATTGTTTAAATATGTGGCTTTGTTAGTAATGTACCTGATTATTTTATGACTGATTAGTGTTGTTTTAATTGTGGGGAGGGGAGTGTTGGAGGAGAGTAGGAAGAGCTTTGTCTGTTTTATGATATACCTGACTTGGACTTTTAACCAAAACTCTGGTTGGTAGAATATTGGCTTTCTTAAGCTCTTCTGATTAACTTTAACTTAATTACATAAAAATGAAAAATGGCCTGCTACATCTACCCTGTGTACTGAATTCAGCCAGGAGGTGTTTTCTATGGGCAGCGCCAAATTTTAAAGATTGGAAAATGCCTGTAATTTTTGGACAGGTGTACACTATCCGCTATCCTAAGTCCCCATGTCTCCACATTCTGTCTTAAACCCAGCTGGCTTCATTTATTTATGTAAATCGCCTGGTCCTAGTGGGCACTGGAGTCTGTGGTTTCTGACTCAAGGCAAGAAGGAAATAAGCAAATAACTCAGGTATTTATTTTTGCATGACCCTGTCATTATGGAGTGGAAAGGGAGTTTCATTTTTATTATGAATACACACTATGAATGCTGATACTGCATTTGTGGCTTTGAAAAAAGTTCTGCCACTGAAATAATCTAAAAGGGGACTAGTTCTTACAGCAATTTCTTCAAGTGCTTTGTTTAATAAGTAGTTAAAAGCAGACTAAAGGGCCACTGGATATTCAATTAGAGAGAGAGAATTTCTGTCACCCTGAATGAAGGAGGAAAATAAGGCCACCCTGGCAGGTGGAGACTTTTTATTTGCTGCCAGTGTGATTGCCTGCAAAGCTCCTGTGATTTGGTGCTTGCTACAGCACATCTCCCTATTTGCACATGCATGGAAACACTTTTTGTTGAAGCTACTTGACAACACTTAGTGTTTATTGTTTACTTGTCATTCTAAGAAACCACACACAGACTGTTTAGGTTACACCTAATGACAGTTTTTATTCATTTTACAGTTTAATGTTTCTTTTTATTTAGCTTTTGTTATGGTTTAACAACTCCTTTCATTTAGTGGAATTGTAGACAAGTTTGAAATGTGAGTCTACCCATAAGACAAACACACATCATTACCTTTTCGTCTCCTGGTGTGCAGCCCTTTGTGAAATCTGCCAAGAAACAGTAGATGCTGATGTTTGGATAATGGAGAAAGATGGCTTCAGAATGCCCAAGGATTTCATGGATATTTCTTTTAAAAGGCTTTTCCTGGAGATATGGGAGCCATGAGATAGAGGTATTTAGGTGGTCTGCAAAGTTATAAGGCAATAATGAGATCTTTAGCAAGAGTATTTCTAAGAATATTTTGAAGTGCCTGGGGAAAGCAAGCACTTACTCCCTTTCCTCCCTAGTCCTTTGGCCAGGAAAATTATGCTGATTTCTAATCAGAAAGAAATCACCCATGGAAAGTCTGAGTATACACTGTGCATTCTATCCAAACTTCAAACTTCAAAGTAACTAAAATTGATAGAAAAAAAGGAATAAATGCTTTACATGGAATTTGTTATTAATTTACACGACAATTAATTAAAAATATTAACCGTACTTAGCTTAATTCTGCCTCAGTATCACAAGATGGACAGCAAAAGAAGTGAGCTTTTGTGTGCCTGCCCCCAAGTTTTAAGTTTTAAATATGGAGGAAAATATGGATCTAAGGTTTAAATCCCATGCTAATCTCCATTAAGCTATAGGATGAAAATGGATGTGAGCCAGGATGCCACAAACGTTGTGTCCAAAAGGAGGTCATGATACCCAAAGAAGAAAATAAAAATACACTTCAGGGGCAATCTGACACCCAAGTAAGATGAAGGAAATATTGACATTGGGAGTCGAAAACTGTGGCTGTTGGAGTAGGGAAATTTGAGATAAAATGATAATATTTTGCTAAGAGAGTTTGCAGTAAAAAGCAGCAGGATTTTGGGAAAATAACTAGGGCTTCCATAACTACTGGTACAAGTAGCAGCTCAGAGGAAGGAATGTCTCTAGGAAGGGGAAAGCTGCAGAAGAAATTGAAGCATAGGTCCATTAGGAGCTTTGCGAAGTCAGGGAGAACATAAAGTAGACAAGCCCTAAGGTCATAGAGCCACCCTTGGCTCATAAGTGGTACCAGGAGATTTCATCAACAGCAAATTGAAACTACAATCTGGTTAAAAATGAATATTGCCAGCTATTAGTTAATAGGGAATATTAACTTTTTCATGTATTGCTAATACTTGCCACATATCATAAATCTTTAAGGAATTTTGTCGGCTTTTCAGTTTTAGTTACCTGTTTTCATTTTTCTTCCTATTTTTAACTAATTCTCAGGTCACTTTGACTTGCTCTGTTTGACAGTTTTTATAATTTAAAAAAATACAAATTGGTTTCAAATGAATATTTTCAAAGATGAGCTTATGTTCTTACACCTTTTTATTCTTGTGGGTGATCATATCACATTAAATATTATTTCTAATATGGCCAATAAGGCTTCTATCATAGCATGAGTAAATCCCAATAGTGAATGCTCCATGGTGAGGGTGGCCAGTGAAAGAGAAACTTATGGGGAAAGAACAAGGGTGAGTGAAAGAAAATATGCCTTTTGTGGATCATGAAGGTGGTGGTAAGAGAGGTCTAATAGGGGATTCTGAAGAACCCATGGGTATGCCTAATACACACACACACACACACACACACACACACACACACACACACGGCCCAGAGAGTGGGAAGTCAGAATACTGCATTACTAAGCACCAGCCAAATAAGGATCATTCCATTTAACTCCTTGACCTTTTTCCTCCTAATACCTGTGATCCAGATGGGACAATGAGAGCAACCAATTAAATGAGGAGAAAGTGAGAGAAGAAGGCAAGTGGCTTGCCAGTTTATAGGCTAAAGAGAAGGAAAAGTCTTCTTTTTGAATGAAGACTGCAGGATTGCTTGATATGTTGAACTTTTGAGACTTTACATTTCTGAAGGAAGACTATGTTTTATGACTTAAAATGGTTATAGGATTTTCTATTACCTGAGTATGAGCAGAGGAATCAGAACTCCTGCTGGAGTTATCAGACAGTGGCATGGGGGAAATTTTTCACATGCTAAATAATATGTAAAGGGGCTTTAGGAAACAACATAAAATTACATTTAATCATATCCTATGTGTGTTTAACATATTAGTTACAAAAGTAATTAAAAAAAAAAAACCCTTCCTCAAACTGGTTGAAACACAGGAAATCTATTGGGTTATATAACTGAACTATCTAGAGGTCAGGTTGGCATCAGGTGAGGCTTGAGTATTCAACCCTTTTATTGCCTCCTGTGTGGCTCTAAGACCATTGTCAAAAGCTCCTAAAGCTACATCCTTTCTGTGGTTTGTCTAGCTGGAAAAAGAGTTTATTTGTCCTAACATTTTCAGCAAAAGTCCTGAGATTCAAACTACCTCCGTGGCCAGGAGTGTAGACATGTTGATTGTTTAGCTTGGGTCACAGGCCAGAGGGTAAGATCATGTTCCCTGGAACCACACAGACCCTAAATGGAAATCATTGCATTGGCAAGGGAGACATGAATAATGAATCCCAAGAGACAACTGAAGATACCTGTAAAAACTTAATCTTTATAGGAACCTTGTGAATTAGGCAATATTTTCCCATTTTTCAGGTGAGAAAATTTTCCCAAAGGCAAACATTTTTTTAGTAGTGATTTGAGAATAAATTCAGGTCATTCTAACTTTGAACCACAAAGTCATTCTATTTTACCACATTTCTTATGTAGCATAAATTAAACACATACAAGGCTATTTAATCTATATCAGGAAAGGGTTTTATAATTTCTCTTCCATAAATTTCAGGCTATAAAATAAATTAATGAGACGCTTAAGAGTCTTGAAATGACAAATAAATACTTCTAGAAATTGCAAATCCTATAAACCATAAGTAAGAAGAATTTTACTTAAATTTTGAAAACTTTAGCAAAGTTCTTTTATTCTTGTTTATGGAAAACTCAGAAGAAATATATGTACCTTAAGAGCAAAGCCCCTGTTGATTTTAGAATTGTCTAGTTATCTCAGATGCCATACGTAATATTTGTGTTTTAAAAAAGAAATGTAGCTTAGACTGTGTATAGCAAGGTATAAAGCTTAGGAAGTCAAAGAAAAGAGAAGATCCTAACTGTCGAATTGACTGGAGAATTCAAGAGCTGTTAGCATTATGAATGGAAGCTATTATCTGAAAAAATATTGCTGCAGGAGGTTTAGACTGGGACATTAAAACAAATCGTTGTCCTGGGCATTGAAGTTAAATAAGGGGGCATGATAATGAAGTTTCATTGTCTTGAATCTGTGGGAAATAGATATTTCAGGTCTATGAGCTCACAAGCATTTAATGCTGTAGGACAGTACCTTGATGAGGCTCCTTTGGGGAAAAGGTAACTGAGCAAATTATGTTCGTGGTACATTGGCATATCTTATAACCCACTTCTTATTTTAGAAATGCTTAATATTATTAATTTACCTAAATGCCATGGGAGACAGATGCTCAGAGATTTGCTAATTGCCCAAAGAGTTATATTCTAAAACTGGAAACCCCAGGTGGTCCCACCTCAATTCTGAATGGCAAGAAAGGAGTCTTGCTGCTATTCTCTCCCATTATCCAGCAGAGCTGAGAAAAGCTGAAATGCTTGGTCACTTTTTTTTCCAGCAAGCTCTCGCCTTGCTTCTTCAGGAATCATGTCGGACAAGATTCAAATTGAGTGGCTGAACAAAGACAGCAGGGGTTTTAGAAAAATCAAGATTGATTCTTTTATATTTAACAACCTTCTTCTTACAGCTAAGTCTCTAAATTGACACTTAAGCGGGGGCGGGGAAGCCTATAAGAAACAGAATATAAATATACATATAAAATAAGCCTACGAATAAAATAGGCTTATTTTAATCAAATTTCTTTCAAGAGGAGCCCCATTTTGTACTTTTTTAACTTCCATCTCTTCTCATTAGGAAAGAAAACAAGTCATGACTTTAGTATTGTGATATCGATCTGTCCACCTTACAAATGTTTTACAAATGCTGTAAATGTAAATCTGGGAAACTGAGGAAGTAATCAGTTTAAATTCTGTGGAAAATATAGATTTTATTCTGCAAGTTGGAATCATCCTGAAATGTTGAAGTCTTAGAGAACTCAACATCTTTAGGGCCTTTAAAACTAATATCCTTTTAGGGACAGAGACATATTTACTGAAATACATAACACAGAAAATAAAGTTCTTTGCCTTGCTTTACACCCTGGAGTGTGATAAATTTTGTGGGTTGTGGAATAAGCCTGTCCCCTGGTTTCTTAGAGGATTTAGTTCAGTACCAGAAATCACTGGAATTTTAGTAGCAGCTTTTTGGCCTTTAGAATGACCATTTGTTTTGTAAAGTACATGATGTAAACTGTGAAATGTTATTAATATTTTTAACCATTTCCTATAATTATTTCAACAACTTGAAGGAAAATTCTTCTTTTAAAAGATCACTTTTCTGGTGAGGGATAATTTATAGCCAATGTATAACTCAATAGGAAGTCAAGAGAGCAATCACCAAGAGGAATGAAATAGGCAAGTTTCCCCAAACTAACACATAAAAGGATTTCTTGCGAGCTAAAGTCAGCAGTAAAAGAATATGTGCAGGATTAGTCATACTGGATTTAGAGGCTTCAGCCCTACCATTCGTTCTTCTGAGAAGAAACGCCTAGTGTTCTATGGGAAAATAGGAAAGCCTCAGAATATATCTCAGAATATATATTCCACCAGCTGTTTCCTTAAAGAAAGAGGATTGTTTGAAAAAATTTTGGGTGGGGACATGGTGGTACAGGAAAACAAACAAACAAAAAACATGCACTGAATCATAAAGTCTCCGTCATTGGTTAACATTTAATTTTTATGGCTATGAATATTAGGGCAAGGAATGATCAAGTCCTCAATCATTTTTAGATACAGGAATTAACACTTTGTTTCTGTTCCATAATTTTAGAAAATATTTCCATAGGAAATGTCTCCATTTTCATCATCTTCTGTAACCTATAAAATGTAGAGCTCTAGAATGTAGACTCTTCACTGATTTTTTGAGGCAATGCTAGCTGGGGCAGAACAAGGAACTGAGCTGGGTTGGAGCTACTTTGATTCCATCTTCTTTCTAGCTCAGAGGTCATCACAATGTCCACCGGATTCTATACTGACCCTAGGAAGAGCATCACAGAAGCTACCAGCGGAGAGGCTGGGTCCTACTCTCACCTTCAT